AAGGGCTTCAGGCAGAGCAGTTATACATGACTCTACAGGATGACGACCAGAGGATCTGACATTATGAGATTTGGGTTTTTTTCTACCTGAGGCAGAAGGAATACTCATTGTTTGCATTTCTTGAGGATCCAAGGAACACACCAGGCCCTCTGCAGCCATTATGTCATTTCACTTAAGTCAGCCCTACGAGGTAGAGAAACTATCGTTATCTCATTTTTGCAGATAGGGAAATCCTATTTTAAGAGAACTCTGTGTTCACTCATTCTTTTTTATCTTCTAAGTTGAAATACCAGCACAGATCTCTGGATTTGGGTGGCAACAGTAACCAGAAGCAAAAGGAATGGGTGGATGGCTGTGAAAAAGAGCGTGCTTCTTCCTTCAAAGTGATTTTCTCTCCTGTAGGAAGTACTTCTGTTTCCTGCCATGAAGCCCGAAGACAAGAAAGAGAGTGGAGCCACCACGGATACATCAGAAAGTACAACAACTGGTACTTCTGTCTAGAAAATAATAATTGCAAGTTGTGTAACTCAGGCTTCTCTGCGTTTCTGCACAAGATCAAGGACGGCAGGGGAATTTTTGTGTGTTGCTGTCCATTTGACGATCACCGTTCAGTTGGGCCGCCAGACGAGAGAAGAGGAATTAAGAATTCCTTTTTACTCCTTGTTCCCAAATAAACCATTTGTCTCTACTCTTGTCTCCTGACTATTTACCATGGAATGTCAGCTTTTACTCAGACAGCTGGCCTAGTGCATGGTTAGCATTATATCACTTTATTCATTCAAGTTTATGTTAATATCTGCTCAGTACCAGGCATTTTTCTAAGGGATTAAGGACACAGCAATGAACAAAAGGCAAGTCCCTGCTTTGGTGGAAATTTCATTCTTTTTTTAGGGGTTGAGGGCAACTAAATAATATGTATTTCTGGTAAATACTAAGAAGAAAGGGGGGTAAGGGGACAGAGGTGCTATTCTAGAAAGAGGTGGATGGGGACAGTGCTATTTTAAATATGTGATCAGGGAAGACTCTTCTAGGTGACATTTAAGTAGAGAGCTGGAGACACGTCTAAGGGGAAGGGCAATCCAGACCAGAGGACTGCATTTTCAAGGACCGGCAAAGGGTCTGGTGTGGCTGGAGGAGTACGGAAAGATCCCTGTAAGCTATGCTGAGGAGTGTGTGTTTTATCATGAGTGATGTGGGATGCCATTGGAGGGTTTTGCATAGAGGGCTTTCAAAATACTGTTCTAGTTAGCACAGGGAGGGCAACAGTGAAAGGGAGATGACAGTGCCAATGGTTTAATGTAACAGAGATGCTTACAAGTGACGACTCTACCTGTTCCTCAAGTCGATAGAATTTGGTGACGGGATGTGGATCAGGAGAAAATAGTCCAAAGATGATTTCAAGGTTTGGGGCCTGAAGAGTTGTCCTTTATGAAATGGGACAAACAGGAAGTGCAGTTTGAGAGGAAAGGTAGAGTGTTAGGTTTTGGACATCATTTGGCCTCAGGTGGGAACAGTAAGTACGATGCTGAATGGTGAGTCTGGAGTTTAATCATTACTTTCAGCTCCTTTCATCTAGGTTAGGAATGACACAAGGTCATGGCTGAGGCCGTGCTGTTATAATGGAGTCCCTGACTCCTGATGCACGAGGCAGCTGGGGGAAACCTTCCAATGAGTCCTACCACAAAGGACTTGCCTTGTGCATCTCAGCAAGGCCTGCAAGCAGCCCAGTTTAAGAGTCTACTTTCACAGAGCAAGGTTTTACTTCTGTAGCCGGTACAATGATCTTAGCATGAGAATTACCTCCCTAGGAATTAATTCAGAGTTTTGAGCACCTCCAACCCTTGCTGGTGTTTAAACACAGGCTCTAGGAGCACTTGGCCGTAGTGATAGATGACCAGGTGTAATTTCAAAAGAAACCCTTCCATATGGCACATCCCCCAGCAAGATGGTGTTAAAATGAAAATCATTCCCCGCCCCCCACCCCAAAGGAGAGGGTATAGGGTCAAGATGGGGTACTGGACTTCAGGCAACACTACCATTAGAAAAAGCAACAAGAACAATGAGGTCACGAGTGACCTTTAAAGGACTGTTTAGTAGGCTGGGGGCAGAAGCCAGCTACCTGACCTCAAGAAGACTGGAGATAGAGATGAACTGAAGCAGTAGCAACTTGTCTGGGATTTAACAGGAAGAAAAACAAACAGGATAAAAGCTAGAAGAAACAGAAGGATTGTAATTATAAAGTCTAGGGGCGCCTGGGTGGCGCAGTCGGTTAAGCGTCCGACTTCAGCCAGGTCACGATCTCGCGGTCCGGGAGTTCGAGCCCCGCGTCGGGTTCTGGGCTGATGGCTCAGAGCCTGGAGTCTGTTTCCGATTCTGTGTCTCCCTCTCTCTCTGCCCCTCCCCCGTTCATGCTCTGTCTCTCTCTGTCCCAAAAATAAATAAACGTTGAAAAAAAAAAAAAAAAAAGTCTTCATTACTTCCTTAAATGGTTGAAAGCTCAATGTGCTATCTGCTGTACTGTGGTGAACAGAAAGGCACGGTCCCAAGCTTCATGGCAGCTCTGATAAATGCTTTGAAGGAGATGTCTGTGGGGTATTGAGAAACTCCAACACACCTAGTTAAGGAAGGTTTCCCTGAGGACATGAGAATCTGAGATCTGAAAGAAGATAGAGCATTAACTAGTCAAAGAAGGAGGGCTTTCCATGATGTAGCAACAAGTGCAAGGGCCCTGAGATAGGAAAGAGCATAGAAAAGGCCAATGACACCAGAGTACAGAAGACTGAAAATATGCCACCAGATGAAGTAGGAGGCAGGCCATACAGGGGTATGAGCCTTATTATGATGGCATTTTATGTAGTCTCAGCCTTACTATAGGATTTTGTATTTTAAGTGCTGAAAAGCCACTAAAGTATTAAAGCAAGATTGTAACATCACATTTGTGTTTTTAAAATATGTCTGGGGCACCTGGGTGGCTCAGTGGGTTAAGCTTTGACTTCGGCTCAGGTCATAATCTTGCAGTTCATGACTTCAAGCCCCGTCTCCGGCTCTGTGCTGACAACTCAGAGCCTGGAGTCTGCTTTGGAGTCTGTGTCTCCCTCTTTCTCTGTCTCTCTCTCTCTCTGTCTCTCAAAAATAAATAAAACATTAAAAAATTTTAAATCAAATAAAAACATCAGTCTGGCTACTCTGTGAAAGAGAATTGGAGTTGGGCAAGGAAAGGTGAAAGTCTAGAGGTTAGCATAGCAATCCAAGAGGGAGACATCCTGGGCTGTTGCCATGGAAGTGGACAGAAGTGAATGGATCCAAGAGACGGAGTAAAATCAACAGGATTTTGCAGTGGATTATATTGTGGGGGTTATGGGAAGGAAAATGACAAGGAGGGTGACTCACTTTTCCATTTATACAACTAGATTGATGGTGGTACTGATCCCTGAGATTGATGATTCCCCCCCCCCCGCCATCAGTGCTTCTTTAAAGACAGAAGAGGGAGAGTTTCAGATTAAAGATGTTGGAGAGACAGGGAAGAGGAGCAGAGTCCTTAGCCTTGAAGGAGTCTTGTGGCCCTTCTGAACTAGAAAGAAGGACAGGGTCAAGTAAGCTGCACTCTAATTTGTAACTTCTGAGATGTAACAAGAAGAAAAGTGAATTTTCTCATCTTTAGGAAATGAGGTATACAATTGTTGGATGGTACAGGTTCCTGAATTATCCAGACAAGTTATACTACCTATTCCTGGCAATCTAAAGATTTTAGACCTGCACTACCCAATACAGCAGCCACTAGCTACATGTGGCTATTGAGCATTTGAAATGTGGCTGGTTCAAACTGAGATATATTGTAAGTATAAAATACAAGATTTATTAAACTTAAGTATGAAAAAACACTGTAAAATACCTCAGCTTTTTAAAATATTGATTACATGCACCCAGCAATTGCACTACTAGGCATTTATCCAAGGGATACAGGTGTGCTGTTTCGAAAGGACACATGCACCCCCCTGTTTATAACAGCACTACCAACAATAGCCAAAGTATGAAAAGACCCCAAATGTCCATCAGTGGATGAATGGATAAAGATGTGGTATATATATGCAATGGAGTATTACTCAGCAATCAAAAAGAATGAAATCTTGCCATTTGTAACCACGTGGATGGAACTGGAGGGTATTATGCTAAGTGAAATTAGAGAAAGACAAAAATCATATGACTTCACTCACATGAGGACTTCAAGAGACAAAATAGATGAACATAAGGGAAGGGAAACAAAATAAAAACAGGGAGGGGGACAAAACAAAACACTCATAAATATGGAGAACAAACAGGGTTGCTGGAGGGGTTGTGGGAGGGGGGATGGGCTAAATGGGTAAGGGGCATTAAGGAATCTACTGAAATCATTGCTTCACTATATACTAATTTGGATGCAAATTTTAAAAAATTAAAAATTAAAAAAAGGCTAATTTATAAGAAATAAAATAAAATATTGATTACACACTGAAACGATAATACTTTGGACATACTAAATAAAATATGTGCTTACAGTTAATTTCACCTATTTCTTTTGGCTTTTTTTAATGTAGCTATTGGAAAATTTTACATTATTTGGCTCAACCTATATTTCTGTTGTACAGCGCTATTTTAGACAGAAATTTAGACTAGTGATCCATGATAGGACGCCATTCTACTAGTCGAACCAGGAAGTCAGCTTTCATCAGGCCATTTCACCGGTACCGACGCTCCAACATTCTGGATTATTACTGTTTTCTTAAATCTTTATTTTTGAGAGAGACAGACAGAGTGAGGGCAGGGGAGGAACAGAGAGAGAGGGAGACGCAGAATCCGAAGCAGGCTCCAGACTCTGGTCTCTCAGCACAGAGCCCGACGCGGGGCTCAAACCCTCGAACCCTGAGATCATGATCTGATCCGAAGTCGGACGCTTAACCGACTGAACCACCCGGGCGCCGCAACACGCTGGATTAGTAACCTCATTTCCACAGTCCCCAACTCCAACCCAGTTGGACTACAAGGGCCAGCGTGCACTGCGCGCCTTTAGGGGCGGAACCTGAAGGACCGGCCTCTTTGTGACATCACGTCCGCTACGCCGCGCTGTTCTTCTTTCCCAGGGCGCGCAGCTTGGAGGCGGGAGGGGAGCATCTGGGAGGTGAAGAGGTAGCGGGGTAGAGGGCGCGCGAATGTGGGAGGCCCCAACCCTGCTGGGTGAGCTGCCCTCGGTCTAACTTCCCCAGCCCATATTTGTCCGAACCGGTTGTGAGGATCGTGTCTCCCGCGTGGAAAGGGCGGCTGGCTTCCCGGAAGTGCCGGTGTCCGCCGCGGGTGGGCGCGGGGTGTGTGACCTCACGGCAGCGTCCACAGCACCCGAGGAGGCAGGCGCGCGCCGGGGCTCTGCTTCTCAGGCCCAGAGCCTCTCCCGTAACTTGCACAATGGGTGCCAGTCTATTCTAGAGCTGACCGAGGTGGGGCCGCGGCCGAGAGTATTGAGGAGGGGGGCCTAAGGCGAAAACCTTTTCTCCCCTGGCAGCCGACTCGCTTTAACTTTTCTTTGAAAAGGAGAATTCTTAACGCTCCTTGCACCTGTTGTAATGTGCGATCTTGTGGGCAAAGAAATGCCTGTTTAACTGAGCTATTGTTTCCTATGAAGTTACTCAAGATATAGGAGAATGTATTTGAATTTTAGGGGACCAAGTTTAACAAAACATTCATTTCAACTACTGTGCACGCTCATCCATACAGCCTCGCGAATGAGATGATGCTACAGTTCTGGGCTGCTTCATCTTAAGGAGTTGATGTTACTTCTGGCAAGTTCTGTCTTCCCTGGCTATTATAGTTGGTGGTATGTGCCTCTGGTTTAATTTCAGGTTGATGCCTTGTGATGCCCGTCCCTCCCCACCTTCCCACCTCCCTGAAATGAGAGGGGAAAAGCCCCTTAGAAATGGAGGATTCTAGGATCTCCCATGCTTTTGCTTTGGGACATACATGACATGCTGGATCTCTGACTTAAAAGTTACAATTTAGGTCAGTCCCTGCCAGATGATTGTTTTAAATCACTGTGGTCTGACTTACCATGGCTTTTTATTGCAGCAGCAGGCCTCCACATTTAATAGATAAATAAGCATATTAAAAATTTTTAAGAGTTTTTTGGGGCAAAAATCAGTTCCAGTTAGCACCAAACCAAAAATGGTTAGGAGGACTCTGCAGATCAGAACCAGAAGAGAGACGTAATAAAATGCAGCAAGAAAGGAAAGTGTTTGGCCATATTTTGAAGCCTAGGAGGCTGTTTGTGATTGGTTTTCTTTAGCATTTTGCTTTTGTAACCTAGAAGCGTGAGCAGGCTTAGACCATGGTTTGCTAACACAGGCCACCACAGCTTTAAAGCTGCATCAATCTAGTAGCCTCCTTGTTTAATTAATTTGACCCAATGCAGGGGGCTCATAATTTTCAGAAGTTGCATGCATTGGAACTCAAATAAGCCTTTTTTTTTTTTTTTTTAATGCTTAACTATATCCGTCACCATATGATCTCATTTTCTACTAAGAAGCTTTTCATACATTTGAGTCTAAATGGGATCATTGAATGAGCGCGGAGTCAAGAGTAAAAGAACATTTTATAGCAAAGTGGTCTCTCAAATCTGACCTGCTTAATGATTTTTATGCATAGCTTTATATTGCTATTACAGCCCCTCTGCTCCCCAAGGAGCTTAGGACAAATCATTTAGGAACATGAAATGTTCCTTTTTGGAATATTAATCACAGTTGACATTAGTTATGCTTAATATTGTAGCAATTGCTTTTTTAAGATTTTTTTTAATATTTATTTATTATTGAGAGAGAGAGACAGAATGAATCGGGGAGAGGCAGAGAGAGAGGGAGACACAGAATCCAAAGCAGGCTCCAGGCTCTGAGCCGTCAGCACAGAGCCCGACGTGGGGCTTGAACTCACAAACCACAAGATCATGACCTGAGCCAAAGTTTGACGCTTAACCAACTGAGCCACCCAGGTGCCCCAGCAATTGGTTTCTATAAATATTAATCCTCAGAATAAGCCATAGATCAAATACTACTGTTATCCCTATTTTAACAGGTAAACAGAGGATAAGTCATCTACCCAGTATCACACAATTGGTAGCAAAGCGAGGATTGGAACCCAGATAGGGTAACTCGAAAGTCCACACTCTAACACATACTCCTGCAGAGAGAACACTTGACTGGTGAGAAAGCTCTGCGCTTTGTCACTTCTCCCCTCTGTCTCATAAAACATTACAGGAGAAATTTAAGAGTTGTTTTCTTGATGGCATCAGTGGAGTCTTACCAGAGGGAAGTAGAGTCATTCTGCTGGGAGGTGGGGAGAAGGCAGAGAAAAGAAAAATAAAATGTCTGAGAAAGAAGGTGGAAAAGAGCATCTGCCCAGAAAGATAAACGTTGTATGATTAGAGTCTGCCCAAAGCCGGCTAAGGTCTGTAATAGTTTACATGCAAATGAAATACTTTACTTTCCAAATGAAAGTTGGAGTAGTGGGGAATACTTCCCTCTCATGTGCTTTTATTTTGAGTAGTAGGTTCAGGTTCATAGATTCATGTCAGATATCCAACAACAACAACAACAAAAAAACAGCTTTAAGAAAGAGGGTGTCTTCTGGGGCTGATGGGATTTGGGACTTCTTTGATCTCTCCTTAAAAATGAAAAGGGGAGGGGTGCCTGGGAGGCTCAGTTGGTTAAGTGCTCGACTCTTGACTTTGGCTCAGGTTATGAGCTCACGCTTGCTGTGTTCAAGCACCCTGTCAGGCTCTGCACTGGCAGTGCGGAGCCTGCCTGGGGTTCTCTCTCTCCTTCTCCGTCTGCCCCTCCTACCCTGGTGCGCACACGCGCTCTCTCTCTCTCAATAAAGAAACTTAAAAAAAAAAAATGCAAAGGGGACAGGGAAGTAGCAGAACGTGACCCATAGAGCTCCAGGCACAGAAACCTCAGCATGAATGTGGGCGGGCCACCCCGAAAGCCTCCTGAAGCACCCAAGCACGTTGTAGCACCTCGCATTGGTTCTCCTTTCTGACTTCTGATGGTTGTGGTTCTTGATTAGGCTCAGCGCTAACTCAGACCATGTGGACCGCTGATGAGATTGCATGGCTGTGTTATGAGCACTACCAGACCAGGCTGCCCAAGCAGGGGAAGCCTGAGCCCAACCGTGAGTGGACGTTGCTAGCAGCCGTGGTGAAGATACAGCCTGCCACCGACCAGGCCTGTGGCGGCGCTAACAAACCGGTGCAAGGTGAGACCTTTCCACCTCCAAACGCTCCCTCTCCCTGTCAAAGATGGTAGAATTGTTCCTGGCCGTGCCCTGGCTGGGGGCAGATGCAGTGGTGGGAATGTTCCCCTGCTCTCCACCAGGTGCCGCAGTCCTTCCGGTGGTGGGAGTTGGCCATGCTGGAACCACAACCACAGTCCCCGGTTGGGTCAGCCTGTAAGAATGCTCTGGAGGAGTCTGCAGATGTGAAACCTGAGGAGGGGGACCATTCACATTATGAGAGTTCACTTAATGATTCATTCTTTTCCTCTCAGTGACAAAGGAAGTTGTCTCAATGGGAACGGGGACGAAATGCATAGGCCAGTCCAAAATGAGGAAGAGCGGTAAGCCCAGGTGGGGTCTGGAAACCACTGTCCATGTTGTCCTTTCCTTTTCTCAGCAAAGGGGCCGTATGGCTGAGGTGGCCAACCTTAATGTTCCCGCTGACTGTCACTCCAGATGGAAGGACAGAACTCATTTTTTTTTAAGTTTACTTATTTTGAGAGAGAGAAAAAGCGTACGCATGAGTTGGGGAGGAGCAGAGAAAGAGAGTATCCCAAGCAGGCTCCACACTGTCCGCACAGAGCCCAATGCAGGGCTCACGAACCGTGAGGTCATGACCTAAGCCAAAATCACGAGACAGCTGCTTAACTGGCTGAGCCACTGAGGCACCCCATAGAATTCATTTAAAGAATGGAAATAAACTGTGAAAGCAAAGGCCTCCAGGAACATACTTTCTGAGTAGATTGAAAGTTGGCCAATATGTTCATGCTCAAACCAGAAGTCCCCCGGACTTAGCCACCCCACATTTTATCTGAAGCCTCCAAAAGCAATCAAATGGAGATTTGGGCACCAGCAAGAATATGGAAATCCCTTAGAGATCTGGCATCTTCACCTTCTGCTTCCAGTTAGCAGATTCCTTCTCAAGTTTGCTTTCCTCATTTTCCCCGCCTTGCCTCCCGGTTCCAGGACCATTATGGATTGAATTTGTTGAGGTTATATCACCATAAGAGGAAGTGTGATACCAGAGTACAAAAGACTTGGACCCCTGTCCTCCAGATATTTTCCTATAAATCAGTAGTTCTTGGCTATGGGGAGATTTTGCCCCCCAGGGGACATTTGGCAATGGTTGGAGATATTTTCGGTTGTTACAACTAGGGGGAGGGGGATATTGTGCTACCTGCCTCTGGTAGAGGCCAGGAATGCTGCTAAACATCTTACATATCCACAGGACAGACTGCCCCAACAAAGAATTTTTTAACCTAAAACGTACAGTAGCATTGAGTTGAGGAAACTCTGTATTGCCTTTAATCGTTGCAATACTTTCTGACAAAGTCCTCCAGGAGCTACGTGGCCATCCTGGCTGCTGGGGAAACCACTGTGTTCTACTTCTAGGAAACAGGGCCTCTCCATGTTCTATATGTCTTCACTAGTGTCCTGTCTTTGCCACAGGAGACATCCTCAATGATAGCCATGCTGAGGTCATAGCCAGGAGGAGTTTCCAAAGGTAAAGCCACATCCCCAGACAATCTGATTTAGCCTGCCTTGGGGGTCCCAGAATGTGCATTTCTAATAAGCTCTCCAGTAATACTGACCATGTCAGTCTGTGAACTACTCTTTGAATAGCACTGGTCTACACAGTGGTTCTTATGCCCGATGTGCATCAGAATTACCTAGGTTTGGGAAAACCCAGATCACTGGGCCCACCCCTAGAGATTCCGACTCAGCAGGTCCAGATTGCATTTCTAACAGATTCCAGATGATGCTGATCCTGCTGGTACAAGGGCCACACTTTGAGAATCACTGGTCTAGATCATTCTCGTAATTCCAGATTCCAGTGCCAGTCCCATTGGGCTGCAGTAGCTCTTTCTTTCTTAGAAAATCACCCAGCCAGTCTTTCCCTGTATCTCAGTGATCGGTTGTTCATTCTGATAACATCTTGCACCCCATTAGGTACCTTCTGCATCAGCTCCACTTGGCGGCCGCCCTGAAGGAGAATAGCATTTTTGTCCCTGGAACTCAGAGAGGGCTGTGGAAACTCAGACAAGGCATCTTGTTTGTGTTTTTCTCCAGCCATACACCCTGTAAGTATATTCAAGCCTTTGGATTGATGTTATGTTGTCTTTTTCCTTGTGTTTGTCTTATCCATAGATGCATTTCCCAAAAAAGCTCTTCTGACTTAAGTGTAGCTACAGCCAGTGGACAGTGCCTTTTTCTGAACAGGCCATTGTGCCTAATCACTTCTCTACCAAGGAAAGGCTCAGCTCTCAGTTCTCAGCTCGCAACAGGATTGTGAAGCTTAAACCTCCTCGAGGTCTGAACCCAACAATAGGGCTTAGAAGCCCAAAGCCTTGAGTTCTATAGAGATTTATGCTGAAACTCATTCTATTCATTCATTCATTCATGCAACAGATATTTTCTGCTACTTGTCAAGTACACTATGATATACTAGATGTATAGCAGGGAATAAGATTAGCCCCTGGCTTAGCCTCATAGAGTCTTTTAGGGAATGTAGACAGTCATGATTAGTTAAGTTAAATTTTGATGAGTTATAAGGGGATGTTCAGGTGCTGTGGTTGTATTAGGCAGGAAAACCAGGCATAGCCTAGGGGTGGCCACTCTTTTTTTGTCTTGAAAATAATTTCTACCCTTTGTAGATAGCAATTCAGGGATGGCAGTAAAATTTCCTTACCCTAAATCCTTTGAAATAAGAGCAGACTATTGTTCTCTGAGTATTAAACTTTAAAACTAACACATGCATTTTGATCAGATACAGGCACTCATTCTAAAGAGCATAGCTGCCAAGATTTGGTCATAATTCAAATCAAAAATGTGATATAACTTAAGAAAGAATGAGTCTATCAGAAAATAATTGGTTGAGTCAAAGGCCAGAAAAACGACATGCAGAGTGAGGTAGGCAGGGCTCATCCATGCTTAGTTATTAGCAGCAGAAGCCAAAGAACCAAAGGATGTCCAAGAACCAAAGGATGTTTCCTAACTCAGTGCTTCTCAAACAACAATATGCATATGAACCACCCGCAGGTCTTAATAAAATGTGGATTGAAATTCATTAGGTCTGGGATGAAGTCTGAGATTCTGCATTTTTAACCAAGTCCCCACGATGCCAGTGGTCTTGGCCTGTGGACCACACTTTGAGTAGCCAGGGCTTGGCTGATCCCGACGGCAGGCGTAGCCTTATTGTGAAGAGAGAAGCATCTGCAGGTCATGGCTATCCAGACCACATAAGTCCGTGGTCCACAGGCTGGTCCGTAGCCAGATGGGAAAAATCAGGACTATAATGAGTTTTTCAAAAAAGCTAATTCCTTTCCATGTGAAGGTTATAAGATTTTTCTTTTATTTTTAATCATAGTAATTAGGATTTTTAAAGATCTTACTTGATGGAATACAAAGTAATCTATTGATCTTAAAATCTACTGGAAATTTTACTGGTCTGTGAAATCAAAATCTGGAACCACTGTTCTAACTGTCCTGGGCTCATGGGTAATCTTTTAAAATGTGATGTCCACCCATGCATGGTTTGTCTGCAGGAGGAAAGAACACTACCTGGAGAATTTGACTATCTGGCTCCCTTGGCATTTATTCCTCATTGCTAATTGATAATTTGGTGCCTGGGTTAGCTACTTCCGGCCCTTGTGAGTTTGATTAGCATGAGTCAGCCTCTGGAGCTTTCTGAGTGGGAGGTGGGCCCCAGTCAATTCTCCAAAGTCACTGTCACCTTGTGAGACCTCTGGAAGCCTGCCAGCCAGCCTTTCTGGCAACACGCCCACATCTACCTCTTTTGCCTTTCCCACTGTGAGGTTATAAAGACTACAAATGTATTATTTACATGCTTTAAAAAAGCAACACACATTAGGTTAGTGTTTGAAAAAGTAGCTCCTTTTCCACAGGGAAGCTGTGCTTTTTACTAACCTCTGGTTTTCTTTGATTCTGTTTAAGCATAGAGTTAGGTGAGAAATCTCTAACCGACTGCAGGGAAATGCCAGCTATATAATTCACTGCAGAGTCTTTACTGTGAGGACATACACAAAGATCTCCGAGATGGGGAAACTAAACATTTTTGCCAAACGTGTTTAACCATGAAATCAACCTCCCACTTTGCTTTTCCATCTCATGGGATAACATCCCACAAAATGTGCTGGGAAAACTGTGCTCGTTGGGAACCAAGGTTCTTAACTCAGGACGGCTTTGCTCCTCAGGGGACAGTTTGCAACATCTGGAGTCATTTTTGATGGTCAGGCTGGGAGGTGCTATTGGTAGCTAGTAGTAGGTGGAGACCAAGGAGCTGCCAAACATGTAATGGAAAGGAGAGCCCCCACAGCAAAGAATTGTCTGGCCCAAATGTCAGTAGTATGGAAGTTGACAAATCGTGATCTAAACTAGTGTTTTCAGAACTTCCTGGGATGAGAATTACTTGAGATCTTTGTTTAAAGTATTCAGTTTTCCAGATCCTCCCACCCCAGCGTTTCTAACTCACTCTGGTCTCGATAAGATAGAGTCGCAGAGGATTCTTACTCAGGAAGTTTGGACAAGTCTTCCTAATACATCTCAGCGCAGCTGGAAAATAGGATTAAACTCCATTTAAGACAATGGTTCTTCGTAGGGCTCCTGGGTCGCTCAGTCTTAGGTTAAGCTTCCAACTGTTTGTTTTTTTTTTTTTAATTTTTTTTTTCAACGTTTATTTATTTTTGGGACAGAGAGAGACAGAGCATGAACGGGCGAGGGGCAGAGAGAGAGGGAGACACAGAATTGGAAACAGGCTCCAGGCTCCGAGCCATCAGCCCAGAGCCCGACACGGGGCTCGAACTCACGGACCGTGAGATCGTGACCTGGTTGAAGTCAGACGCTTAACCGACTGCGCCACCCAGGCGCCCCGCTTCCAACTGTTGATTGCAGCTCAGGTCATGATTCCAGGGTGATGGGATCGAAACCCTCATCGGGCTCTGGGCTGAGTGTGGAGCCTGCTTAAGGTTCTCTCTCTGTCTCCCTCTGCCCATCTCCCCTGTTCTCTCTCTTTAAAAAAATAAAAAAATAAAAATGAAAAAGACAGTGGTTCTTAAACTTGAGCCTGCATCAAAATGACCCGGAGAACTTGTTGAAACACACATTGCTGGGTACCACCTCCAGAGTTTCCAATTCAGCAGGTCCACTGTGGGTCCCAAGAATCTACAGCTCTCACAAGTTCCTAAGGGATGTTGATGTGGCTGGTCTGGGGGCCTCACTTTGAGAACCACTGGTTTTTAAGGGGTTCCTTCTCCTGCAGGTGGGGATGCCTCCATCATTCCAATGCTTGAGTTTGAAGATCAGCCCTGCTGTCCCGTCAGTAGACGTTGGGCCAATAAGCCATCAGAAGAAGCCAGTGGTAACCCAGAAACTCCTGAAGATGAAAAGAAATATGAAGACCTGGGTAGTCCTGTGACCAAAAAGATGAGGCTTGAACCTGGGATTCCTGATGGTGTGGCTCACTGTCAGAGTTTGGACAATCAGGAAAGTGGTCCAGTCCCACCAACTGTCAGCAGCTCTAATGTCCCCACACAGGAACTGGCCACTGTCGCCGGAAGGGCCCCCAGTGGTGCCAAAGTGGTGGACGTTTATAGAACTGGAGCCAAATGTGTGCCTGGAGAAGCTGGAGACTCGGGAAAGCCTGGTGCAGCATATCACCAGGTGGGCCTGCTCCGGGTGAAGCCAGGCCGGGGAGACAGGACCCGCTCCATGTCCTGCAGTGACAAGTTGGCACGGTGGAATGTCCTCGGATGCCAGGGGGCACTGCTGATGCACCTTCTAGAAGAGCCTGTCTACCTGTCAGCCGTGGTCATTGGGAGGTGCCCGTACAGCCAGGAGGCCATGCGGAGAGCTCTGACTGGGAGGTGAGAGGGCAGGGAGGGGAGGGCTCAAGTGGAACAGTCTTCCTCAGAAGCAGTCTGAGAATATATCCAGAGAGCCTGAAGGACATCCATATGGGGGCGCCTGGGTGACTCAGTCAGTTGAACATCCCACTCTTGATTTCAGCTTAGGTCATGATCTCACGGTTCTTGGGATTGGACCCCATGTCGGACTCTGCACTGACAGCATGGAGCCTTCTTGGGATTCTTTGTCCCTCTCTCTGCCCTTCCCCACTCACACATGCATGTTTTCTCTTTCAAAATAAATAAATAAAAACTTTAAAAGAAATCCATGCATTTTGTTCCAGTGGTTCCATTGCTAGGAATTTGTCCTAAGGAGATAATTAAGAAAGTGCTCAAACATTTAGCTTTGTGTGTAGTCTTTTTTTTTTTTTAAGCCAGATCCACACGCAACACGGAGCCCCAACGTGGGCTTGAACTCAACCCTGAGATCAAGACCTGAGCTGAGATCAAGAGTCGGACACTTAGCCAACTAAGGCATCCAGGCACCCCATGTAGTCATTTTTAAAAAAGAAAAGGAAATGGCTAGCAAGAGATTTTTATTAAAACTAATATTGATGAAAATTTGACTTGGAAATGTTCATGATGTTCAAAGAGCAAGTCAAAAGATACAATAAGTTCATTTTGGTCTTTATGTATTTATTTTAAAAGAGAGAGCACGTGTGAGCAGGGGAGGGGCAGAGAGAGAAAGAGAATCCCAAGTAGGCTCCACACTGTCAGCACAGAGCCCTACTCAGGGCTCAGACCCACAAACTGTGAGATCATGACCTGAGCCAAAATCAAGAGTTGGACGCTTAACCAACTGAGCTACCCAGGTGCCCCTGGTCTTAAAGTATATGTGCACATAGAAAAAAAACTGTCAAAGAATATATACCAAATTATTAGAATGATTACCTCTGAGTTGTGATATTATGGGTGTTTTTTTCTTCTTTGCAATTACTCTTGTCTTCTAATTTTCCTGCAGTACCTATATATATATATATATATATATATATATATATATAGTTAAATTTTTTAAAAACGATCAACATCAGTGTTAATTTTTTAAAAGATAAAAGACAAAGCTTCATCACTGAAGTGTGGTCTCCCTAAAGAAGGGCAGCCAGACCCAATTAAGGCTGTGGTAACTGAGGGCAGGATGAGGCCATGGCTGGAGGGGAAGCCTGTCGTGTCAGATGTGCTGCTCCCCCGAGGCTCAGTCCAGGGAGCAGCTGCAGGGTGTGACCCACTAATTCCACTCCTGGGTACGTACCCAGGAGAAATGAAAACATACATCCACATAAGAACTTGTACACGAATGTTCATAGCAAGGTAGGTCACAGTAGCCAAAACCTGAAACAGCCCAAGTGTGCGTCAGCTGGATAAACAAAAGGGGGTGGGTTGTTATGGTGGAATATTAGCCCCAAAAAGGAGTGAAGGCCAGATACAAGCTGCGACACGGATGAGCCTTGAAAACTTTATGCCAAGTGAGAGGAGCCACGTAGTGTATGATTTTATGTAGAGAAATGTCCTAAACGGGCAAATCTAGAAGGGGATTCGTGGGTGCCAAGGGCTGGAGAAGGGTATGCGGAGTGACTGCTAACAGGTACAGGGTTTCTTACTGAAGGGATGAAACTGTAAACTTAGACTGTGGTGACATTGGCACAATTCTGTGAATATCCAAAAACAAAATGTATTTTACACTTTAAGTGGATGAATTTTATGGTATATAAATTATATCCCAATAAGATGTTGGGTGTTTTTTTAATTTTATTTTGTTTTACAGAGAGCATGTGCGAGCCAGGAGAGGGGCAGAGGGAGAGAATCTGAAGCAGGTTCCATGCTCAGCCCAGAGCCCAGTGCAGGGCTCAGTCCCACAACCCTGGGATCATGACCTGAGCCGAAATCAAGAGTAAGACACCCAACTGACTGAGCCACCCAGGTGCCCCCCAATAAGGTGTTTTTTAAAAAATAAAGCAACCCAGAGGTGCCTCAGTGGCCCAGTCGGTTAGGCATCGGACTCTTGATTTCTGCTCAGGTCATGATCTCACAGTTCATGAGTTCAAGCCCCACGTCGGGCTCTGCACTGACAGCATGGAGTCTGCTTGGGATTCTCTCCCTCCCTCTGTCTCTCTGCCCCTCCCCCCACTCATGTTCACGTGCGTGTGCACCCTCTCTCTCTCAAATATATAAACTTTAAAAAGGCAACTCTAGGCACTGTGTGCAAGATATTTTCTGAGTTTCCTGTGCTTTCCCCATTCTGAGACCTTAAAGTTGCTGTCTCCTCAGTTCCAGAGCAGCACCACGTTGGCCTGTAGATTGTGTGAAAGATACAAAAGGAAAAAATGAAACTTTTATATTATAGTATGGTTTGCGTTTCTGGTGTGTGTGAAGGATTCCCTAGGAAACAGATGCCACAAGTTAATATTTCTGTTTAAGGTTTTCACATCTTTCAAAGCCAGTACCAGGAGTGGAGTTTGGAGTCACTGAAGTCACTGAGGGGGGGTGACTCAGTTCATCGTTTTCACTTCAGAGTGATGGGAAGGGATCTCCCTTCAGCCATGAGGTTCATATGATCTAGATTCTGTTCTGTTATGCCCTCTCGCCGAGACTCAGGGGTTAAGTGGTCCACAGTCCTCCATATTCTCTTCCTCGAACAGAGGGCCTAAACCAAATGCATTTTCCCTCACATTAGGTGTCAGAACGTCTCAGCTTTACCCAAAGGCTTTGGAGTTCAAGAAGTGACAATACAGCAGTCCGGTTTACTGTTTGAACAGAGCCGCGGCGCAGTGCAGGCAAAAAGGGCTGACAGCCCAGGCCGACTTGTTCCTTGTGGCGCAGGTAAGGTATCCTGGTTCTTCTTGCCCTGGAGTGACTTTTCCCCAGACCGTTGGGTGGCCTGGGAGGCACTGTGTCCACCCAGCCTGGGAAGGCAGTTGATTACCTCAGTGGTCAATAGTGTGGGCTTGGGGGTGCCTGGGTGGCTCGGTTGAGTGACCGACTTCGGCTCAGGTCATGATCTCACGGTTTGTGGGTTCGAGCTCTGCGTTGGGCTCTGTGCTGACGGCCCGTAGCCTGGAGCCTGCTTCGGATTCTGTGTCTCCCTCTCTCTCTGCCCTTCCTCTGCTCGTAGCTTGTACACTCGCTCGTATTGTCTCTCTCAAAAATGAATAAACAATGAAAAAATTAAAAAAAAAAAGTAGCGTGGGCTTGGGAAACACCCACCCTAGGTCAGGTTCATGCTCTCCGTGACTCTGGGCAACTTACTTATCCTGTCTTAGCCTCAAGTTCTTCATTTTTAGGTAAGAATATCATTTCGTAAAGAATCCAATTTTAAAAAATGGCCAGAAGACATGAATAGACATTTCTCCAAAGAGGGCATCCAGACGGCCAACAGACATGTGCAAAGATGCTCAACATCATTAATCATTAGGGAAATGCTAATCAAAACTACAGTGAGCTATCACCTCAGGCCTGTCAGAATGGCTAAAATCAACAACACAAGAAACAGGTGTTGGCAAGGATGTGGAGAAAAAGAAACCTCCTTGCACTGTTGTTAGTAGGAAAGCAAACTGGTGCAGCCATTGTGAAACACAGTGTGGAGGTTCCTCAAAAAATTAAAAATAGGGGCACCTGGGTGGCTCATTCAGTTAAGCATGCGACTTCAGCTCGGGTTGTGATCTCACAGTTGGTGAAATCAAGCCCCACATCGGGCTCTCTGCTGTCAGTGCAGAACCCACTTTGGATCCTCTCTCTCTCTGCCCCTCTCTCTCTCTCTCTCAAAAATAAATAAACAGGGGCGCCTGGGTGGTGCAGTCGGTTAAGCGTCCGACTTCAGCCAGGTCACGATCTCGCGGTCCGTGAGTTCGAGCCCTGCGTCAGGCTCTGGGCTGATGGCTCAGAGCCTGGAGCCTGTTTCCGATTCTGTGTCTCCCTCTCTCTCTGCCCCTCCCCCGTTCATGCTCTGTCTCTCTCTGTCCCAAAAATAAATAAACGTTGAAAATAAATAAATAAACAAACGTTTAAAAAAATATTAAAAAAAATTAAAAATAAAACTACCCTATGATCCAGTAATCATACTACTGGGTATTTACCCAAAAAGTACAAAAGCACTAATTCAAAGGGATACATGCACTCCTGTGTTTACAGTAGCCAAATTATGGAAACAGCCCAGGTGTCCACTGGCAGATGAATGGATAAAGAAGAGGTAGTGTATATACACAATGAATATTAGTCATAAAAGAAAATGAAATCTTGCCATTTGCAACAGCATGGATGGAGCTAGAGAGTATTATGCTAAGTGAAATAAGTCAGAGAAAGACAAATACCATATGATCTCACTCATGTGGAAGTAAGAAACAAATGACAAAGGGGAAAAAAATGGAGACAAACCAAGGAATGACTCTTAACTATAGAGAACAAACTGATGGTTACCAGAGGGTAGAATGAGGGAGGATGGGGAAAATAGGTGATGGGGATTAAGGAGTGGAAGAAAAGTCTATCATTATTTATTAGGGCTGTTATGAGGATTAAATGAGAAACTCTATTTCATTCAATTACCTTGTGTCCAGCATATGATAAATGCTTAATGGTTATTAGATTTGATGATGACGATGATGATGATGGTGATGAATCACAAACCACTTTATATTACCATATTCTGGAGGCCATCCATCAGAGTGGCAACCATTGACTCTGATGTCATGTCCAACTCTCCTGAGTCTGCAGAAGCAGGGAAATATTTTTGTTAAAACACCTCTGATGTTCACAGGAAACTGAACGGTCTTAATTGCAGAATCTTGTCTTTTCATAGCCATCAGCTGGAGTGCGGTTCCTGAGCAGCCGCTGGATGTCACTGCCAATGGCTTTCCACAGGGAACAACACGGAAGGCAATCAGGTGCCTTCAGGCCAGGTACAGCATATTGGGGCAGAAGGAGATGGTGGCTGTGCAGTCCTGTGTTACCACTATCTAGTTCCAGAACGTTTTCATCTCCCCAAAAAGAAACCCCGCACCCACTGGCTGTAATTCCCCATGCCCTTCTCCAGCCCCATGAATCTCCTTTATGTCTGTGGATTTGTCTGTTCTGGACTTCCCACTACATGAAATCATACAGTATGTGACTTAACTTACTTAGCCTAAGTTTTCAAGGCTCATCCATGTTGTAGCATGTATCAGTCCTTCATTCCTACATTCCATTGTCTGGATCTGACCACTTTTTGTTTCTCCACTCTTCTGTTAATGGATATTTGGGTTATTTCACTTTGGGGCTGTGGGAATAATGCTGCTGCGAACATTTATAGAATCTTTTAGGTGGACGTATGTTTTCAATTCTCTTGGGTATACCTTGGAATGGAATTGCTGGGTCATATGATAACCTCGGAGGTTTTTTTGTTTTTGCTTTTTTTGAGGAACTGCCAAACTGTTTTCCATAGTAGCTGCACTATTTTAAACTCCTACCAGCAATGTATGGGTTTCAATTATCCTACATCCTTTACAACACTCATTATTGTCTCGTTTTATTGTAGTCATTGTGGGTGTGAAGTGCTATATGATTGTAATTTGCTGTGCATTTCCCTAATAATTGTTTGAGCTTCTTTTGATGCTGAGCATCTTATCATATACTTATTAGCTCTTTGTATATCTTCTTTGGAAAAATACCTATTCTGATCCTTTGCCCATTTTTTTAACTTGGTTTTATTTATCTTTTATTGTTGAGTTTTAAGGTTTCTTGATATATTCCGGGTACTAGTCCTTTATCACAGATGTATTTGAACGTATTTTTTGTCAATTCTGCGGGTTGTCTTTTCACTTTTTGAAGGTGTCCTTTAAAACGTGGAAGTTTTAAATTTTGATGAAGTCTGTTCAATCTGTTTTTTCGTGGGTGGTTTGTGCTTTTAGCATCACAGGTAAGAAACCATTGCCTGATTCAATATCACAAAGATTTGCTTTGTTTTCTTCTCATAGTTTTATAGTTTCAGCTCTTAGGTTGATGACTTTGATCCCTTTTGAGTTAATTTTTCTATAAGGTGTGAGGTAGGGTCCAACCTCATTCTTTTGCATGGGGGTATCCAGTTGTCCTGCCACCTTTTTTTTTTTTTTTTTGGAAAGACTGTTCTTTCCCCTGGAAAATGTTGAAAAGAACACTTTCTTGGGCTTTACCACTAGGGATTCTGGTTTCATAGGTCAAGCTTGAAGGCCAAGAATCATTTATGAAGCTCCAGAGTGATTGGCCTGGCAGAAAGGCAACCATGAAAGCAGGACTTTTTGTCTTCATATTGGCTTCGACTGAAATGTACAACATGTAGTCTGCTAGACACGAGACTCCCTGTATGTTTCAAGGGTCATGCATCTGCCATACTGGTTTTTCTTCTTCTAAATGCTCAGCAGATCCTACTCTACTTTTCCCTCCCAGTGAGCCACTGGTAGTCTTCAGTAGCCTGTGGGTGGGACGGGCTGTAGGGAAATGGCCTCTCCACCAAAGGCATTTACATCTCAGATGGACTGAGCTGCCACTGAGTGACTCTTGTAGGATTTCTACCTTTTACAGGTATAGTTAACCCTTGAACTATAACCCTGGGGGGGTTATGGGTTCTGACCCCCCTTACAGTTGAAAATCCATTTATACCTTTTGATTGGTCAAAACCTTAACCGCCAGTAGCTTGCTGTTGATTAGAAGCCTTACTGATAACATGAACACTTGATTAGCATGTATTTCATATGTCGTATGTATTACATACTGTATTCTTATCATAAAGCAAACCAGAAAAGTGTTATTACAAAAGTCATAAGGAAAAGACATGTATAATACTGTATTTATTGAAAAAAATCCTTGTGTCACTGGACCCTGCACAGTTCAAACCCATGTTATTCAAGGGTCAACTGTAGTTCTTTTCACTCTTGAGTTGCTTTTCCATTTCTTTACTATGTCCTTAAAAAAAAAATTTATAATTAAAGTTCACAGTTGGATTTGTTTCTTCTTTTTAATATGCTTATTTGCCAGTCTCAACACAGACAAAAATAACTTCTATAGTTTTAGACCTTAAAAAAGAAGGTTTTGTTCTCTGCAGCCACTCAGCAGGGTCCAGATGTCCCAGACCCTTTCCTGTTAGCCCAGGCTGTTGAATTGAGTGATATTAACAAACTTGTTAGGGGTGGAGGTTTTGGAACCAGTTTTTCCCCCGAGGACCTGCTAGCTTCAGGCCACTGTTTGCATCTCCCAAGGGACCAGCTCTCAGCCACAGACCAGGGTGTGTGAGCAGAGCAGGTCCTGCCTTCACAGGGACCATGTTTCCTGCAGAGTTCCAGCTCTGCTCTAAGGCAGCGACAGGCCCGCAGCAGCTCCCCCTGGCCCCACCCACCTGACGGTGGCTCCTGTTTGTGCTTCCTCAGGTCTAAATGCTCTTCTTCACTAGGAGTCCGCACCCTCTTTTACCTTGAAAGTTCAGCTCAACCACCACTGCCTTCTGGTTGCTGTAGGTCCAGAAGGTCCAGGTTCGCTGCCTCCTGGAACCTCTCTTCCAACTCCTGTAGTGCTGTATTCTCTGGCTTATCCCGATATGTCAGTGCTTTCTGTTGATGAGGAGTACCTCCTGTTTCCAAGCTCGCTCTGGCTCCAGTTACCCACATGACTTGGAACGAGTGCAGTTGCATTCCGGGCTTCCGTGTGTCCGTATCTGTAAGATGAGGATGTTGGAGTAGATGATCTGAGGTCCCTGACGCGTTGTAGGTGTCTCTCCATTTAGGAGGCAGACTCCTTGCAGGGAAGAAGTGTATGGGAGAAAGAGCAGGAGCTTTGCAGTCCAAGAGACTGATGTTTAATTCCTAGTTCCCTTTCTCTCCAGTGTGTGACACCTTGGGCAAATTACTTTACTTCTCTGAGCCTCCGTTTCCCCAACAGCAAAGCAAGGGTAACTAAGAGTATGTGTCACCCAGGAACGTGGTGAGAAGTGAAAGCGAATGTGGTGCAGGCTCGCAGCAAACACCTTGTTAAGGTTGGTTTCCCCTTCATTTGCCCAGTGAAGCTTCATGTTATGTGCAGAAGAGTCAGCATTTCTTTTATTCTAAAGAGTTACAGCTGCTGGGGAGAGAGCAGGTTCTCTCACTGCTCATTCCCAAGCCCTGGCATCCTAGGACCACCTTCTTTACCACCGCGGGGCATATGAAAGCAGACGGATGTTAGAGACATTTAATATGCTAACACAATACGAGAAGAAAATACTTAAGTCTTTGTGTTCTTTTCCAAACAACGTGACGATAACAGACACCACGTAAAAGACCCTCATTTTCAAGAAGCTTCATTTTGCTCTTTTCCCTAAAGTGGCAAATCCTCATTCCACCCCAGAGCATCCTGGAGAGATCATTTACGTGGCTCATTGGATTATAAAAGAAAAGCATGAGGGATTAAAAACAACAACAACAACAACCCTAAGTGTGCCTAAATATGTTAAAAGTTAGGGCTAGATTAAGAACACCTACGTAAACCTGTGTCATCTTTAAGAAATTGTTTATGTATATATAATTTTCCTAGCTCTCTGATGCCCCAACCAGCAATGTCAACCAACTTACCAGGGAGAGCCTAATATCTAAGAACATAATTGTTGCTGCTGAAAGGAACCAGGGCTCCTTGGAGAGAAGTAGCTAGCAGCCAGGAGGATTGTTATGTTCCACAAATGACATGAGTGGTTATTACTGAGTAGGTCTCATTGACAGAGGAATTACGAGTATGGCCACTCTGTTCTGCTGTTGATTAGGTCTTGAGAAAGGCCTTTCTTCTCTGGAGGGAGTTCTTGTTCAGCAGAGGAGTGGTTCCCAGCATCCCCCGTCTGTATAGATATAATACCTTAACATCACTCACAAGGCCATTCACTTAGGCCAGAAACATTCATAAGAGAAAGTGCTGTTTGTTCCTCCAGAGGGAAGAATGCTGAAAACATTTTCAGAGCTGGTCTCAAGAAGCTGTGAAAGCAATGCCCTTGTCTTTGTTTTTTTTTTTTTAACATTTATTCATTTTTGAAAGGCAGAGAGAGACAGAACGCGAATGGGGGAGGGACAGAGAGAGAGGAAGACACAGAATCCGAAGCAGGCTTCAGGCTCTGAGCTGTCAGCACAGAGCCCGATGCAGGGCTCGAACTCACGGACCGCGAGATCATGACCTGAGCCGGAGTCGGCTACCTAACCGACTGAGCCACTCAGGCACCTCGATGCCCTTGTCTTATTCTTGATTTTAAGGACATGAATTTGCTATAGGTTTTTAATGATACCCTTTATGAATGTAAATGCTGTCTTTCCTAGTCCTCGTTTGCTAAAAGATTTTAAATCATTCTGTGGCTGTTGAATTCTCACAAGTGCTTCTCTGCACATTTTTTCCTCATAATGACATTACATTTCTCTTTTAATCTGTTAATGAGATAAGTTTCATTAGTTTCTTGGCTTTGGGTTTTCTTTTTACCATTAAAGGAACCTTACATTCCTAAGCGCCGGCAGCCACTCGGGCCCAGTTCAAGCCCAGGGAGAGTGTGAGGGCTCAGGACCCCCGCTAAGCGATGATTGCCGCAGTGTAGCCTCCGTGCCCGCCAGGTGAGGGAACTCTCTGGCAGAATGTACACTTCCCTACTTCACATATACCTATTATGGCCACAGGGTCCGAGCTGATGGACAGCTCACATGGACAGTCTGTGAGGACGGGGAAGGGTATGGTGTGTAAAGATGAGACAGCAGCTTCTTGGCACACACATCTGCCTCCTCTGCATCAGCTCGTGAACTGCGTATAGCGAGGGAAGAAGGAGGCGCACACGGTTCAGATCCCGGCAGCCTGGATGGGCAGAGCCAGGAGAGCCCAGTTGGGCTGGTGAGGAATCCGCACTCACTTCCTTCACCGTCCCGAGCTGTGGCCTGCACGAAGCTTCAGGTTAGAAGCAAAGGAAGGCCCACAGTGCCCGCGGGGGAGTCTGGAGGCTCTGCCTCCGGTGCTTGTCTGAGTGGACTTTGTAACCGAGGTTCACGTGGGGAGCACCACTCAAGCCTGAAACCCAGCTTCACTGTCGTGAGCCGTATCACCACAGGGCCGGCGCCCTTAGGAAGAAGTAGGCCAGCATGGCTGGCAAGGGTCCTGGGGGGAATTTAGTAATCCCACCTCTGTTGTCACCCCATTTGGGACTGTCACCTTCATGATTTCATGGCTGATGACATGTCTTAAGAGGAGATTCGCTTTTTTTTTTTTTTTTTTTCAAAGCTTTTTTATTTATTTTTGGGACAGAGAGAGGCAGAGCACGAACAGGGGAGGGGCAGAGAGAGAGGGAGACACAGAATCGGAAACAGGCTCCAGGCTCCGAGCCACCAGCCCAGAGCCTGACGCGGGGCTCGAACTCACGGACCGCGAGATCGTGACCTGGCTGAAGTCGGACGCTTAACCGACTGCGCCACCCAGGCGCCCCGGAGATTCGCTTTTTTAACCTCACCCCAATCAGGTCTACATTTTCTTCATGTGAAGAACAGGTTGGGGGCGGGGGGGGGGCGTTCCTGCACGTTCAAATTTAAGAAAGATACCAGGGGAAGCCCGGTGTCCCTGACAGGGGCCTGGTGTGTATCAAACACTCATTAAAAATCTTCTTTGTCTTTTTCCAAACAGATCCCAAATCAGCAAAGTGGAACTCTTTAGATCATTTCAGAAACTGCTAAGCAGTATTTCAGAGGACAAGTGGCCAGACTCCCTCAGGTGACTCTGTTGACCCATTTTTTTTTTTTTTTTCATATTTAGGACGACTTGTGGTTTAATTCTGGTTTACAAATGGCAGGAAGCTTTGGCAGGAGTGGTGGCTCAATGGGCCAGTGGGCACTTAGTTACCACCTGCATGTGCCTCTGTCCCCCGGGCTCCGATTGCAGGTGCAGATCTGAGGTGTACAGGAGGGGTGGTTTAGTGGTGCAGGGTTACAGAAGACTGGGGGGGAATTGGGGCTTGGTCTGCTCCAGGCCCCGCCTTTGCCCCCCTCCAGGTGGAAGGCAGGGCAGACATATAGGGCTGGCCCTATTGCTTAGAGGGCAATAGAGTCTATTAGGAACATCACTCTGCTCTTCCTCTGCTGCAGCCTTACAATTGAAATTGTTCCCAAACAGGAATGTAGAGAACTATAAAACCGCTCCAGGGGCCAGTGGGTGGGTAGTCCAGACACTTAGCTACTCAAGGTCAGTTCCCTCACTTCATACTCCAGATGCAAGCTCCAGGGCCCCCAAGCCCCTCACACTTGGGACCACTGACTGCAAACTCAGGGGCTCCTGCTACCCCCTTAAAGTCACTAATTCACTGGAACAACTCAAATTCAGGAGTGCACTGTACCTACAATTACTTTTTATTCTAAAGAATATAGATCAGGACCAGCTAAAAGAAGGGACACACAGGGCACAGTCTGAGAGGGTACCAAACACAATTCGTCTGTGTCCTCAGGATGTGTCACCCTTCCAACACATCACTGTGTGTCACCAACCAGAAGGGGACCCAAGTTTTAGCATCCAGTGTCTTCCCTGTGCTTGTGTTATATACACCTGAATGACTCATTGGCCACATGATGTGACTGAACTCATTCTTCATCTTCCCCTCCCATCAGGAGGTCAGACTGGTATCACAGACCAACTCCACTCTGTGGTTAGTCTCTCTGGCAGGGCCAGCCCCATCCAGATCTCTGTAGGGCCCACCAGGAGTCACCTCATTAAGTATAAACTCAGGTGTGATCAGAGGGGCCCACCATGAATAACAGAGACATTTCTTTTTTTTTTTAATATTTATTTATTTCTGAGACAGAGAGAGACAGAGCATGAGTGGGGGAGGGGCAGAGAGGGAGACACAGCATCCGAAGCAGGCTCCCGGCTCTGAGCTGTCAGCACAGACCCCGACGCGGGGCTCGAACTCACAAACCGTGAGATCATGACCTTAGCCGAAGTCGGTCGCTCAACCAACTGAGCCACCCAGGTGCCCCAACAAAGACATTTCTACCCCTTGGGAAATCCTGGGGGTTTGAAGGTTCCCTCCCAGGAACCGGCAACAAGACCGGCCAAATTCTTTATTGTACAGCAGAGGAGAAGCCAAGGTGTTGCTAGAAAAGTCTATTTGAAGAGGCTGACCACTTGTTATCACCGTCATGCGTACTGCTGTTGGTAGTGATGCCCTCCAGTCAGTTTGGTCAGGAGTCACTCTGCTTGTTTTTTTGTCTGGAAAAATGAATCAAACTGACCAGGAGGTTTCCATACATTTTATGTGTCGGTGAAAACAAATCTGGACTGAGGTCAGGAGAGACTTTACTCAAAAGGATCATTGCAGTAAGAGAGGGACTGTTAACTGCAGCAGCAGGACTGATGCCATAACAAAGACACTCCAGTCCTAAGGTCTGTAAGCCTCCAGGGCAGGCGGGAAGGAGTAGCCCTTTGTGGGGAGCAGTGAACAAGGCCGGAAAGAACAGGGCAGGGGGCATGGAATGCGCAGTTGGTGTGATGGGGTGAGTAGACAGGAAACATCTTTTCTTGAGATCAGTCAATTGTCAGGAGGAGCCGTTAAGAATAGGTCCCTGCAGGGCACCTGGGTGGCTCAGTCGGTTAAGCGTCCGACTTCGGCTCAGGTCATGATCTCACGGTCCGTGAGTTCGAGCCCCGCATCGGGCTCTGGGCTGACGGCTCAGAGCCCGGAGCCTGCTTCAGATTCTGTGTCTCCCTCTCTCTCTGACCCTCCCCCATTCATGCTCTGTCTCTCTCTGTCTCAAAAATAAATAAACATTAAAAAAATTTAAAAAAAAAAAGTCCCTGCATATTGTGATGCTGGCTCAGGCTGAGGGTGGGTCATAGTTCAGGGTTGGGAGAAGGACAGAAGCATAACTAATGTTGGTCAAGGAAGCAAGAATTTTGTCGAGATTGGTATGTGGATGGAAACAGTTCAGCTAGTCATTATGAGACAGAGAATGGGAGTTTGAGGATCCGTCATAGGTAAGCCAAGGGGGGGCGTCCATGAGTCCTATCTGGGTCTTACGGGGAACGGGACTGTGCAGTAAGCCATTTCCCAGAACTCTTTAAACCAAAAAGTAGATAGTTATTCTTGTGTTATCTGATACCAGGAGGACCAGACAAGACTAGCATTGTTTATTCTCACCTGGGCTTTTTTTAATGATTATTTATTTATTTTAAGAGAGTTCACACGCAAGCGTGGCGGGGGAGGGAGGGCAGAGAGAGAGAATCCCAAGTAGCGTTCACGTGGTCAGTGCGGTCAGTGTATAGAGCCCAACATGGGGCTCGATCTCACAAACCATGGGATCAGGACCTGAGGCAAAAGAGTCGGACGCTTAACTGACTAAGCCACCCAGGTGCCCCCTTTTCTCCCCTGTTTCAATCCATGTTGCTTTCTAGTGAATTTCCTACATTGGAGAGAGAGTAGCTGGTGGAAAGCGTACCAAAATCCTCCCGTTCCTAGATCTGTTCCTAGTCTATGCTTAGACATCTGTCCAGCTGATTGCTCACTTGGCCACCATGTTGAGCTGATCAGTGAGAACCTGTGTGCTTGGTGGTGTGTGTGCATTAGGGCGCAGAAGCTAGAGACGTACCACGAGTACAAGGAGGCTGCGTCTACTTACCAGGAAGCCTGGAGTGCGCTCCGAAAGCAGGCCTTTGGATCCTGGATCAGAAACCCACCGGATTATCACCAGTTTAAATAAGAAGGGCAAACTGCAAAGAGCTTATTAGTCGCAGAGTGTTTTTCAGCTGCTCACACTGGACGGCTTCTTCCTTTGTGCTGGACAAGCCTTAGCTTTTCTTGTGGCTGAGTCAGGAAAAAAAAAAGTCTGCCATCTACCAGAGTGACATATCTCTTCTGGGTAATATGGACAGAATCCTGAAACATGGAACTATCCATACTTGACTGACGTATCTCTCTCTGCTAAAACATCACCTCGCTGATGCCCTTGGCATCTGTCCTAACATGTGTTATTGCTTCTCTAAAACATGGAGTAAGAACTTGGAATGTGACGCTTGAAAGGTACTCTGCAGCAGCTCCGCTCTGTGTTCCCACATTGATCTGGCAAGTATTTCTTGGGCTGAGATGGTGTCCGGACCTCTGCAAGTTTTAGAGCTTCCCTTGGCATAGTGGACATGTGCCGTTTCTTCCCTCGGAGGGTCATCCTTTCCTGCTCTATCCATGGGACTTGGCTGAAGCAAACCTCACTCCCCAGCTCTCGGATTGTGAGGCAGCGCCATACAATCCTGGAACTACTGCCAGGGCGAGCAGGAAAGATGCTGTCTTCTCTCGGATCAGAAGCTCCAAGGACCACAGACTCGTGGGACTGTCTGTGGCTGCCTTTGCCTCCACACAGAGGCAGCCATCTTGAGAATGAAGGCAAGAAAACAGGAAACAGACAAAAGCATCGGCTCCCGTGACCTTGTTTGGATGCCTGAAGCCAGTGCCCAGCCTGGACTTCAAGTATGTGAGATAAATTCATACGGCTGTTTGGGTTAAGCCTATCTGAGTAGGTTGTCTGTGGCTTTCAAATGAAAGAGTTCTGTCTAACAGGCCAAAAGTCCGTATAGCAAGTCAGCAGCAGACCTAGCTACCCATCCTCTTTTAACCACCATCTAATATTTAACTCTCAACCTCTCTGCTCCTTAAATTATTGATGGAAAGGGAAGTTCTCCGTGTCAGGATTATCCAAAGCTCTTCTCAAAGTCCTTTAGTATCTTGGAATAGCTTTTTTTTCTTTTAAGATTTTATTCGTAAGTAGTCTCTACACCCAGTATGGGGCTTGAACTCATGACCCCAAGATCAAGAGTCACACACTCCACTGACTGAGCCAGCCAGGCGCCCTGTCATTCTTGTATGGCTTTAAATGTTTTTTAAGGGGCGCCTGGGTGGCGCAGTCGGTTGAGCGTCCGACTTCAGCCAGGTCACGATCTCGCGGTCCGTGAGTTCGAGCCCCGCGTCAGGCTCTGGGCTGATGGCTCGGAGCCTGGAGCCTATTTCCGATTCTGTGTCTCCCTCTCTCCCTGCCCCTCCCCGGTTCATGCTCTGTCTCTCTCTGTCCCAAAAATAAATAAAAAACGGGAAAAAAAATGTTTTTTAATAACAGCTTTATTGGGATATAATTTACATTCCATAAAATTTACCCATTGAAAGTATACAATTTAGTGGCTTTTAGTATATCCACGGAGTTGTACAACCATCACCATAATTGTAGAACATTTTTGTTCTCTGTTAGAGGTGGGGGACCCTCATCGACCCAGTATGGTTCTCATTAGCCAGGCACTCCCCATTTTCAGTCAGCCCCACCCTCACCCCAGTCCTAGGGCTTCTCAGGTGATTCTGCGTACTTCTGTTGCACCATATCAAGAGGAACAGGACATCTGGTTGTCCTACTTTCAGCGAGTTCGCAGTGGGCTCAGTGGGCTCAGCTTATCTATCCCGGTAGGAAGTTCCCAGTCACCCTTTCACCTCATGGTTTTAGCAGCAGTGCAAGGGATCCCCGAGACCACCCTCAGGTTTGATGGTTCACTGGACACTCATGGAATGCAGCAAAACTATTGTAGTTATTATTTATTTCAGCGAAAGGATACAGATTTTTTTAATCTTTTTTTTTTAATATTTTTTGGGGAGGAGAGGGCAAGTGGGGGAGGGGCAGACAGAAGGGGACAGAGGATCTGAAGGAGGCTCCGTGTTGACAGGTTGACAGCACCAAGCCCATGTGGGGCTTGAACTCATGAACCACGAGATCATGGCCTTAGCCGAAGTCAGATTCTCAACGGACTGAGCCACCCAAGTGCCCTGAACGTTTTTGAGAGAGAGCAGAGCACGTGGCGCACGCAAGCGGGGGAGGGGCAGAGAGAGAGGGAGACAGAGAATCCGGAACAGGCTCTGTCCCGACAGCCTCAAACTGGGGGCTCAAACTCACAAACTGCAAGATCATGACCTGAGCCACCCAGGTGCCCCTGAAAGGACACAGATTAACGTCGGCAGAGAGAAAAGGCACACGGGCACAGTCCAGGTGCAAGACTCTATCCTCCCTGTATCAACCATATGCTTCTGATGCTTTGACATCCAGGGCCTTGCTCACCCTGGAGAGACTGCCCACAGAGGCTAGCCAACTCCCAGAGATAGTAAAAGATTGAAACTGAGCCCTCCAGGGGCACCTAGGTGGCACAGTTGGTTAAGCGTTTGGCTTCAGCTTCAGCTCAGGTCATGATCTCACAACTTGTCTGTTCGAGCCCTACGTCAGGCTCTGTGCTGACAGCTCAGAGCCTGGAGCCTGCTTCGGATTCTGTCTCCATCTTTCTCTCTGCCCCTCCCCTGCTTGCACACTGCCTCTCTCTCTGTCTCAAATATAAATAAACATTAAAAAAAGAAAAGAAAAGAAAGTAAGCCCTCCAGAGTTCATACCCAGCCACGTGCTTTATGGGGCTCTCCCACTCTGGGCCACACTCCACCTGCCCTGATCGCCCCAGGTCCAGGTACCAGAAAACCAGGGACAGCCCTTGTGCCTCAGAGACCACGGAAATGAGTCCAACTAGCCAGTCCCAAGTCCGCTTACCCTGCCCCGGCCCTTCCTCCCCTTTACAATAACGGCTGTTGCACGCATGTCCTCGCTCCTTCTGCCTCCTGACCCACTCTGGTGCTTCTCTGTGTGACTCCTTGTGGCCTGGCATGTCCTCTCCTCCTGCATCTAAAAACTGTCTCCCGTGGAGTTGCACACACAGCACTGAATTCCCCCAGAAATGATGTGTGACAGTATGGGCCAAGCGTTGCCAGCCTTGGGTGCTGCTAACATGCTGCAGTGCACAGGACAAACCCCGTAACAAAGGAGTATTTGGCCCACAGTATCAGTAGTGCTGAGGCTGAGAAACCCTGATCTAAAGATTGTGTTTTCAGGTTTCATGAAACATCTCCTTTTGTGCTTACTGCTCCAAATCTGTACACAGTTAACTTTGTTTCACTTTTCTTTTCTTTCTTTCTTTCTTTTTTTTTTTTTGGCGGCAGGGGACAGGGCTGGGGAGGTGGCTTTTTAAAAAACTATGTAAGGGGCACCTGGGTGGCTCGGTGGGTTAAGCGTCTGACTTCGGCTCAGGTCGCAATCTCATGGTCAGCATGGAGCCCAATTCAGATCCTCTGTCCCCCTCTCCCTGCCCCTCCCCTGCTCGCTCTCTCTGTCTCTCTCTCTCTCAAAAATAAACATTTGTAAAAAACAGAAAACCGTTTCTGTATTTTAAACTATCGAAACAGCAGAAAGTCCTCAGAAGTGGCATTGTACAGGAAGAGGGACTCTCCCAACAGATTTTAGGCAGCTGCGCTTGTAATTCCAGAGGGTAGGCTAACAAAACGTCTTCTGAAATTTGGCTCTTGAGGGAAGTTTACACTCCAGCATCATTCCTTTGTTCTTGTTCACAAGTGGATTCTAATGTGTCTATGTTTGCATAATTTTTAACTATTTTTCTTCAGACTTTTAAAAATGTGGCTTGATTTAAATAAGTGTGTGTATATATTCCATGTAGTCATTTCTGCCTTAAAGCACGGGGTGAAATGCCTTGTTTTATGGAGTTTGCTAATGCCAAGCGTTAGCTCACTGTCTGGGGAAACGAAGCCGCTACGGAGAAAATGACCCACGCTGGCTGCCAGCTCGGCCTGGAAGAGAAGCAGGCCCGTCTGATCTGGCCGTGTCTGTGGCTGGTGGAAAGCCGCCTCCACCTGGACCTTGGCAATACTTGTTGGCTTTAAGACAGTGTTCTGAGCAAGCCTTAGCCAGAGTTTTCCAGTTTCTAAAACCTGGTTCCCTTGCTAGCTAGTTAAGTGGTTTAGGACAACGCTAACGTTTTTAACTACCACCGTCCTCTTGTGATGCCCGTGGGGAAGCCAGATGAGCTGGTGAGAGGAGGCCCAGTGAGGCAGGAAGGTCACCAAAACCAGGAAGTAGCTTCTAAGTAGGAAGATGTGCCTGTGTGCTCCCTTTCAAGGGCTCAAGCGGGTCTTCCCAAAGACAGCTGTCCTGAAGGAGAAGCGGGATACAGAAAGAGCCAGGAAAGCAGAGAGTGTGAAGAAAACTTTATTTTCCAAAAGTTCTTTTTGGACTGCATACTGAGGAATCGTAGTTGGCCTTCACATCTCGCAAACGTGAATCCCTTCAAACCGAAATGTGTCTGTACTGGGGTTAAGACTGACTTCCTGGAAGGTGTGGATCCAAAACAAATCTCAAGTAGCACCTGTGGTCCAAATGCGCAGACACACTAAAATGTGTGTCTGACACACCAAAAGTAATCAACAGGGATAGAAATCAAAGAGTGGTTGTTGCCTGGTGGGGGAAGATGGGGGATGGGAGTTGAGGGGAAAAAAGGCCTCAGGGGCCTTTCTGGGATTTGGGGAATAATCTGTTTGGATTGAAGTGTTGATTACATGGGTGTCAATATTTGTCAGGATGTGTTAAACTCTCCACTTAAACCCTCTGCGCATTTTATTGTGTGTAATTATACGTCAACTTAAAAATGTAAAAAAAAAAAAAAAAAAAAAAAACCCAAACCAAAAACCTAGTCCTGTTATTTGCTACGGTAGAATAAACTTTGATCTGGATATTTAAGTAATTATGTTCTTTTTTTTTTATCATCTTTTTTTAGAAGTTTATTTTGAGAGAGTGCGTACGCGCACACGAGATGGGGAGGGGCAGGGGCAGAGTAAAAGGGAGAGAGAGAACCTCAAGCAGGCTCTGCACTCTCCGCGCAGAGCCTGACGTGGGGCTCGTACTCACCAACCGTGCGATCATGACCAGAGCTGAAATCAAGAGTCACTTAACCAAGTAATCATGTTCTAGTACCAACTCTACCATTACTTCTATGTGGGTGTGGGGAAAATATTTAATCTCTGACTTCTAACCTGTCACCGGTTGTACCAAATGGGGTCCCAACAATTAGGATGCTTAGTTTTTTCAAGTGTGAGGTAGGACTTCTCATAGAAATTCTTAAAGCGGTAAATAATGCAAAGAGAAATTTTCTCCAGGAAACTGAGCCCATTGGCCGCTTTGAGATACGAATGGCCTCAGGCATGTTAGTAACTAGAGAGGGATGGAAATAACTCTGTGTCTTCACCTAGTAACTCGGGTTCTGAATTTGGGTGTGGGTTTTTTGTCTCGTCTACTAACGAGCCAGCAGGGGTAGGAAACAGCTTTTAGAACTAAGCGCGTTCAGCATTGCTTTCCAGTCTCCAAATTCAGCAAAGTGTCTTAATAGGAAAAAGGCAAAGACAGAGTCACTCCAAGTGGGGACCCAGGCTGCCAAATGTTGGTCTCAAGCACATGTTCCCTGAACTTGGGCTTGGCTCCAAAAGGAGAAGAGCTCACAATGGAAACAGTGATGGCTATTTGCTCAGGCAGCCAAGAGAATGAAAAGCACATTGAAACCCAGCAGTGTCTCCATGGGGAGAGGTACGGTGGGCCCCTGGGTGGTGAAACCAACCTGACAACAGAGCAGGAGAACAGGGCCCATTCCCAGCATCCCCCTTCAGTTCAACAACAAGACCTTTCTGTGCAACCTCAGGAGATCTCTGAGAAATTATACCATGGGCAACCCAAGCTTGGCTCGACAATGGTGCTCACGCAATCCAGTTCACCCGTGGCTTGGTTGAATTCGATTCTGTTATTTGAGAGAAAAGAGCTCTTCTCGATGTACATTCCCTCATCCCTGCCAAGATTTCACCAGATTCCTTTTTTATTGCTACTCCTTATGGACCGTTTTGACCTCCAGTGAGTCCCTTTTCGGCTGGGGTTTGTGTGTGTGTGTGTAATTTTTTTTTATTTCCTTAAGCAATCTTTAAGACCAACATGGAGCTCGAACTCATAACCCCGAGATCAAGCGTTGCCTGCTCCAACTGAGGCAGCCAGGCGCCCCTCAGCCGATGTTTCCACGCTGTACTTTTTGTTCTTGGTTTATCCAGTACCACTGTGAACCCCCCTCTGTTCTTGGCCCATCATAACTGCCAGGCTGAGAAACCAGCTGGCAGTGGGAGAAACAAGGCTTTGGGGCGATAGAGTGGCCAGATCCAGACCACAGCGTTCACTCGCCTGTGCGGACGCGGGCAGACCAGGCCGTGCAGCCCATCTCTTTGCCTCCTTCACAAAAGAGGAGGGCCAACATGGGTCAGTCTTTTGCTTCCATACGGTTTGGAGGAATTCTGTTCTAAAATGGATGGTGGGGCACCGGAGTGGTCCAGTTGGTTAAGCATCAGACTCTTGGTTTTTGCTCAGGTCATGATCTCACGGTTCATCAGTTTGAGCCCCGTGTCGGGCTCTCCGCTGACAGTGTGAAGCCTGCCTGGGATTCTCTCTCCCTCTCCCTCTCTCTCCCGCTCTACTGTTTGCTCACTCACTCTGGAAAGGAAGGAAGGGAGGGAAGGAGGAAGGAAGGAAGGAAGGAAGGAAGGAAGGAAGGAAGGAAGGAAGGAAGGAAGGAAGGAAGGTGCATAAACTATGGTGCAATGGTTGCAAACCCAAATATTTCCAAGAGTAGGAAACTTTGTAAAGAAAGTAGGTGCGGTGAGCTGAGAAGTGTATTCCTTGTCCAATGAGGCGCCATTATTTTGTTCCAGCCGATTGTTGTCAGATGTTCAGAATCTGGATGTTTACTTTTATGTCTAGGGGTCACAGAAAGACACAGGCCTTCGATGCGTATCCTCTGACCTAGCAGGGCAAGGATGGGTTGTGGCCATAGACATGACTTGGAACTGCAGCTCCAGGATGTACTGGTTGTGTGATCTCGGATCGGTCAGAACATTCTCAGAGTGCCAGCATCGTCCTCTTTGAAGCGAGGGCAACGCTGCCCCCGGCAACAGGGTCTCAGGGATAAGATCAGATCACGTAGAACACAGCCATGAGGAGGGCCGCCTAGCTGGCACACAGGAAACGCCATCCTTGGTATTTTAGCTCACAAGTGACTCTTCAGTTGGCGAATCCTGATTTCCAGAGCTTTTGCTAATGAACCTAAGAGACTGTCCTTAGGAGGAGCCTACTAGGCACGTGTTTGTGGAGCCTCTCGCTGCACACCAGGCACGCACGTTTGCCAGCACAGACCATCTCCGCTCCGCATCTGGAAGCAGCGGCCTCTCTCCAGCTGCCAACGGGGCGAGGAAGCGAAGCTGTTGATCACAGAGGTATCTGTAGATCCTCCCACTAACTGCGGCTTTGCCTCCCTGATGTCAACCACCAGGATTGGGGTTTTCCTCCGTAAGGAAATCAAGATGAAAAGGGGAGCCAATTGCACTTTTTAAAGCGTTCCGACATTTGGTCTAATGAAGAGCAAGCAAGCCTTCTGAGAATAAGAAAATTGATATTGCCTCCTTCCAAATTCTCCTTGGAGATCCTTGGGCCACCTTTGGGACTGGTGCCTGGATGCCCAAAGCTGCCCCGTGCCCTCCCTGTGGCCACCGTGTGTTTCAGCCACTGCTGCAAAATTAAGACACATCAGTGCTCGTTACATAGGCTCTCGGCCCCAGGTCGACCAGCCCCCTGTGCCTTCTGAACACCATCAGCATGGCAGACATGACGCTGTGCGCCAGAGGTGCGGGGATAGGGACGGTCCTCTTGTTCCTCCTTGACCGACGGGGAAGACGGGCAGGTGCCTTCACGGTGGAACAGCGCAGTGTGAGGGTGGCTGTGATAGAGACCTAACACCCAACTGGGGGAGGGGCGCAAGGCGGACCGTAGGATCACGGGTTAGCGGGCAGAGAGAAATGGTGGCGCCTGCGGGACAGCTTGCGAGAAGATCTGAGGTCCAATCACCACATACAAAGGCCAGCAAGGAGAGCAGGGCACGACTGGGCTGGCGGAGTATGAGGAGCTCGAGGGCCACCTGGGGCAAGTCAGAGAGGACTTGGGGTTTTCTCCTGAAGGCTCAGCACTTCAGGGATGGTGAGAAAAGGGTGTTGGGATGGAAGCGGCATTTTAGAAAGATCGCTCTCCTCTGCGGCAGGGAGGCTAGAATGGCAGGGGCAGGGATGGTGGCGGGGAGACCACAGATGGGGGGTTACTGGAGTCATTAAAAGAGGAATGCTGAAGCCCAGACAGTAATGGTGTTAGGAGCCATACGGAGAGGACCAAGCAGAGAAATACACAGCAGCCAGTGGGGCTGATTGGCTGGTTGCAGGTAGGGGATGAGCAGGAGGGAGGAAGGAAGGAGGATGCTCCCAGGTTACTGCTGGGTGACAGGACGGACGGAATGTGGTGCCACGTATCAGGGTAGGGGACCCGGGGAAGAGAAGCCGCAAGCCGAGGATGATGAGCTCAGTTTCCGAGTACTACCTCGGGATAAGGACCAGGGGTGGGCACTTTGAAGGGAGTGGTTCGGGGCTCTGGAGAGACAGATGGACTGCAGACAGAGATGGGGGGGCCATCTATTTCTAGGAAGTCCTTGAAGATGTGAGTTAAGGTAAAATCCTCCAGAGAGAATGTGGGTAGAAAGAGAAGAAACATGGACCCTGGCCTGAGCCCTGGAGGCCATGGAGAGCTCAGGAGAAAGCAGAGAAGCACAGAGAAGAGTGTGACCATCCAGTTAGTAGCTTCAAGGCGAGGTGGGGGTGGGTGGGGGGGAAATAATCTCCTCCCCCACTGGGGGACAAGGTTATTTTTGGCATCCTCAGCAAGTGCAGGGTCAGGGAAGTAGGAGCCAGCCTCTCCTGGGCCGAGGAGGGAAGCGGAAGTGAGGGATCGAGTCCCCCTTGTGCTCTTCCTCGAGAAGGACCCGGTCTCTGTTCTTGCCGGTGTAACTTAGAAACAAAAAGCTACGAAATACTTCAAACATAACCATAAAAAGAATAACACCCACCACACAATCAGTGGTAACCATCTTGCTACATTTGCTTTGTGTTTTTATTTTGTGGAGAAATAAAATAGGACTAGTTGTTTTTGAGCCCCCACATTTATCTCCTGCCTCCCTGAGGCTGTTCCCCTCCCTCTGTTAGGTAGCCACCCTCAGTTGTGTGGTTTCTGCTTCCATTACGTACGTCTGCATCTGTAAGTAATACATACGATTATTCTGCATGTTTTTAAATTTGATAGAGACGATATCATGCTGACTGTTTCTGCATCTCGCTTTTTTCCTTCATCAGCACCATTTTGGGGGTCTGTTTCTGTTGACACATGTAGCTGTAGCGCATTCACTTTACTGCTGTTGTAGTTTCCTTTATATGAATATACCACATATCATCCCCTCTATTGTCCTGTTGATGAATATTATACATGGGTGGGGATATTTCTAGGCTATATACCTAGATGTGGACTTTGCTAAATCATGGGTTATCTGCATTTTTAATTTCACTGGATATTGTGAAATTGCTTTCCAGTGTGATGGTACCAACTTCCACTCACAGAAGCAGTTTATGAGAATTCCAGATGTTTCACATCCTCCCACCATTTTTATATGCTGCAACATAATTTGGCCAATTTGAGGAGTGTGCAATGATATCCCATAGTTTGCTTTCCATTGCATTTCCACAGTGCCACAGATACAACCAGTGTAAGATTGCATCTTTTAGTATAGAGCTTATGCACTGAACAACTCTAGGGGGCACTGTTCACACTGTAATCTTTGTGAAAAGCACTCTCTAGAGTTGGTGCAATGTGCCACAGACACAGTGGCCTTGAGTAAAGTTAAGGATTTTCTGTTGTTCTCCTTTGCCTGTTGTTCTAATTGGGCTGTTATATCTTATTCATTGGAAGAGTTTTTTATTTATTCTGGATGTAAATTTTTTTTTTAAATTTATACCTGTTGCAAATGTGATCACTCTGTGGCTTCTATTCTGTTATAGTACTTTTTTTCTTGTACAAAAGTCATTTTTTAATTAAAAATTTTAATGTACTTAAAGTTATCAGCTTTTCCTTTTATCATTTGTACTTTTGTATCTTGACTAAGAACTCCCTCCCTAGTCCAAGGCCATAGATATTCTAAACTTCTTGTGGGTTTTACTTTTCCACATTTAGATATTTAATTCCTCTTGTTATTTTTTGCATGGTGTAATATAGGGGTTTTTTTTTGTTGTTGTTTTTTTTTTTAGTATTTCCTTATTTAATCTCTATCTACACCCAACATGAGGCTCAAACTCACGAACCCAAGATCAAGAGTCGCATACTCTTGCAACTGAGCCAGCCAGGTGCCCCAGGATCCATTTTTTTTTTCCATATATAGCCAATTACAGAATAAAATTAACTAATCCATCATTTTCCCTTTGATTTTCATGCCATATATATATATATATATATATATATAAAACCTTTTTTTAAAGTTTATTTCTTTTATTAGGAGAGAGGGAGAAAGTGTGAGTGGGGAAGGAGCAGGGAGAGAGGAGCAAGTGAGAATCCCAAGCAGGCTCCACACTGTCAGCACTGAGCTGGACATTGGGCTGGAACCCCTGAACCATCAGATCATGGCCTGAGCCAGAGACGGATGCTTAACTGACTGGGCCACCCAGGCGCCCCCGTCACTGTTATGTTTTAAACACAGGTCTGTTTCTGGGTTTCTGTTGTGTTTCCTGGTTTATTTGTCTATCTCTATTGCCATATGGTGCAGTGTTAATTACTTAACTACTGCTAAGATAAGTCTCCCCAGCTTGTTTTTCTCATCACCTCTTGGTTATTCTTGGCCTTTTGCTCTTCTAGTTGGATTTCGCATCAGTTGTCAGATTCCACAAAAAACAAACAAACAAAAACTCATTGGGATTTTTATTGGAATTGTATTATAGGTTAATCTGGAGCAATATGCATCTTTACAATATTGGGTGTTCTCATCCTCGAATATGGTATATTAGTGTATCTCTCCTTTTGTTTAGGTCTTTCATGTCCTTCAGTAATGTTTTGTCATTTTCTCCATGAAGGTCTTGCATATGACATTAAATTTATTCCTCTGCACTTGTAGATTTTTGCTCCTATTGAGAACGAGATTTTTCCCTATTATACTCCCTAAGTGTTTATAGCTGGTATGTAGAAACAATATCCATATTTGTAACTCACCTGATATCCAGCAACCATGCTGAACTTTCTGACTTGTTCTAAGTTCTACAGATTCTCTTGGATTTTTCTGTGTAGATTATCACTGTCTACATTTAAGAACAGTTTAGTCTTCCTTTCTGATTTTTATGCCTCTCATTTACTTTTCCTCTCTTACTGTATTGCTTTTATGCCAGGACAGTGTTGAGGAGAAACAGAGCAGTGACAGCAGTCTTTTTTAACAGCTTTAATTGAGAATATTGAGATAAAGTTCACATGCCATAAAGTTCATCCCTCCGACTTCACAGTACAATTTGTATTTGTTGACTGGTTCTTCTTTTCTCTCCTGATTTGTCACGCCACCTCTGACGTATGTTTTCTATACAGATCTATTTCTGGGTTCTGTTCCATTAGAGTACTTGTCTATCCCAGTGTCAGTACCTACCATATTACCTTATTTACCATAGCTTTAAATATTTGCTGTCGGGGCACCCAGGTGGATCAGTTGGTTAAGCATCTGGCTCTTGATTTCAGCTCGGTTATGATCTCACCATTTATGAGTCTGAGCCCTGAATTGACAGCACAGAGCCCGCTTGGGATTCTCTCTTGCTCCCTCTCTCTTTCTCTCTCTCTCTGCCCTACCAGAGCATGTGTGTGCATGCAGTCTCTCTCTAACTAAACAAACATTTAAAAAATGATAATAGTCATATTTGTAGTCATATTTGTAGATTTTTTATGGGTTCCCTTTATCAAGTTAAAGAAGTACCCTTCTATTTGCTAAGAGGTTTTTTTAAAAGTTATGCATGGATTTTGAGTTATTTCTGGCATTTTTTTCTTCATCTATGAGATGATCATATAGTTTTTCTCCTTCAGTTATTAATTTGGTGTATTTTTTTTTAAGTTTATTTCTTATTTTAAGAGAGAGAGGGGCACCTGGGTGGCTCAGTCGGTTAAACGTCCGACTTCAGCTCAGGTCATGATCTCACGGTTTATGAGTTCGAGCCCCACATCTGGCACTGTGCTGACAGCTCAGAGCCTGGAGCCTGCTTCGGATTCTGTGTCTCCCTCTCTCCCTGCCCCTCCCCCACTCATGCTTTGTCTCTCTCTCTCTCTCTCTCTCTTAAAAATAAATAAACAGGGGCACCTGAGTGGCTCAGTCAGTTAAGCATCTGACTCTTGGTTTCAGCTCAGGTCATGATCTCCTGGTTTCATGAGTTCAAGCCCTGAATCAGGCTCTGTGCAGCACAGAGTCTGCATGGGATTCTGTCTCTCCCTCTCTCTCCCCCTCCCCTGCTTGCTGTCTCTCTCTCTCTCTCTCAAAATAAAGAAACTTTAAAAATTTTTTAAAAAATTAAAAAAAATTTTTAATAAACATTTTAAACACTTAAAAAAAAAAAAGCGAGTTGAGCATGCGTGCGAGTGAGGATGAGGCAGAGAGAGAGGGCGGGAGAGAGAGAATCCCAAGCAGGCTCTGCACTGACAGCAAAGAGCCCGAGGACATGGGGCTGGATCCCACCAACCGTGAGATCATGAGCTTGAGCCAAAATCAAGAGTTGGATGCTTAGCTTACTGAGCCATCCAGGCACCCCAGTTTGGAATATTTTATTCATAGACATAATGATGGACTATATAACCCATTCTTGAGCTAAGCTCTACCTGGTCATGATTTTTTAGTACACTACTAAATTTTATATACTAGTAATTTATTTAGGATTTTTCTCTGTTGATAAATGAGATCTAATTTTTCTCTCTTACAAAGTTTTGGGCATTGAGATTTTAAATTTTTTTTTTTTTCAAACGTTTATTTATTTTTGGGACAGAGAGAGACAGAGCATGAACGGGGGAGGGGCAGAGAGAGAGGGAGACACAGAATCGGAAACAGGCTCCAGGCTCCGAGCCATCAGCCCAGAGCCTGACGCGGGGCTCGAACTCACAGACCGCGAGATCGTGACCTGGCTGAAGTCGGACGCTTAACCGACTGCGCCACCCAGGCGCCCCAAGATTTTAATTCTCAAAATGAATTTGTGATTATTCCCTTTTTCTAATCTCTGCAAGCTTAAGAAAGGGTTAAGGATTCTTTACATAGTTTGATAAAATTCATCTGTAAAATCTTGCTAGTGTATTTTAAGGACTAGAGTTGGGTGAAACTAGATGCTACTTTTTTAAAACTTTTCAAACCTTTATTCAGATACTACATTTTAAAGGCAAGATTGACAAATCCATTTTTTATTAGTATTACATATAAGACTGCTTTCTTCAATACTTTGTTTCATAGATAATAGCTACTCCTTCCTCTGTTCCAAGAATACTTTCTAATATTGCTCATAATTATTGATTTATGTATAGGTTTATCCCCATACTGTAAGTTTCTGAAAGACGGGGTAACATTTTTATTCCTGTTTGTGCCTCAGTATCCAGCAGTTTGAGGCATACTGTAAATAGAAAAAAAAAAAGCATTATGAAATGATTTCACAATGCCAACTCTGTCTTTCCTCTTAAATCTCGAGTTTTAAATCTCCTTAACTCTGTCACTTGATAGCAGTGTAGCTGTGAGAATTACACTACCTGTCTCGTAAGTGCTTTTTGAAGACTAACCACGATGATATATGTA